AACCCTAAACCCTGAGACCCCAAACCCCTAAGATCCTAAAACCCTAAGACCCTAAACCCCTAAGACCCTAAAACCCTAAAACCCTAAACCCCTAAAACCCTAAAACCCTAAAACCCTAAACCCTACACCCCCAAAGCCTAAACCCCGAAACCCTAAAACCTCTAAACCCTCATCCTGGTCGACTCTTTTCGTGTGGGGGCATGGGAGCTCCGGATTCTGGGCTTTGGAGGGATCAGGCTTATTACAGGTGTGACGAGCTTTATTAGGGTGTGGTAGGGTTTAGGCTTCAGGGTTTAGGGGTTTAGGGGTTTGGGGTTTGGGGTTTAGGGTGTGTCGTGCGAGGTCACGCGCTCGGGTGTAGAACACCCCAGGCCGCGCGCTCGCGTGCTCGTTCACCCACCCCGGCCACCCGCACTATACTCTATTCGGGTTTACCGATCCATGCTCTATGCTGTTTCATGGCAGCATGTATTTCAACACGACGACGACGACGGAGGGGCCTAGTAAGAGGAAACGGTAGCATGCACAGACTGGAAGCTCGAGAAAGTGAGAGGCCAGCAAGGCAATCGCCGTTCCGGAGGCTCTGCCGTACAAGCGAAGCCGTGGGCCAGGGTGACTGAGCTTCCGGGTAGGTATGCTTGCGCCCGCACCTGGAAGTTGATGCAGAGGCAGCTGGGCCCTACGGGTTGCAGCGCCAAAGTTTTTCTCTGAGCGTACGAAGAGGCCAACAACGGCAGCAACGCCACAGACGAGGCGCGGAGGCCGGCAAGTAAGCTACTCAAGTGTAGTCAACAGTCGTTCAAGGAAATGGCGGAGTTCTGGCGCATGTTGGAGGTCCGGAGCAGGAGTTGGAACCATGGATTCTTGGAAGATCGATCAACCCGAAGGAACAAGACGAGGACGAGAATGGCGAGGACAGGACTGCTGAACTTCACAGCCGGCAATGCCCCATCCCGGAGGAGCCAGCCAAGAACGTGCCGGAGGCAGTGCCGTACCTGTAGTCATGAAGACAAGAATTTTAGCACACGCACGCAGGACGGCGCGGTGTGCGCTACGACGGACGCGGAGGACCAGACCCCAACGCGAAGCGCAGAAATGAACCGAGACCTGTGAGGAGCAAGAGCAGCTGACGCGGGCAAAAGCCGCGTCGCTGGCGGAGGCCGACGACCCCGCACTGGCGACCGCCAGAGCCGCAGATCGGGAACCAGAGCACAACCACATGCACGGTCGCCAAGGACGGACGGATCGTCGAGCTCCGGCATCCGAAGGCGCGGTGCCCTCGCAGTCGAGGCCAGAAGCAGCAGCATCAACAGGTCCTAAACGGCCATCACGAGAACTGAGGGGTGCAGCTCCCATGAACTGCATGTGCCACCGGCACCAGGGGTGAGGTCACAAAAGAGTGCTTGGTGAGGAACAGCTGCGGAGTCTTCAATGAAGACTGGGCGGACTGGGCTGCCCCCACGTCCGCAGTCAAGCCTCTTAAGCCCTGTGCGTTTTCATTGCGTAGAAAGTTGGATGTTGTACTTGAAACATCTTGAAACCAGAATTGCTGTCCTAAGCCCTAGAAGCTTAAATGCCAAATCCTCAACCTTAAAATCCTAAAAACTAAACCCGAGAATCCTAAATCCTAAAGGCAAGCCGCTAGAATCCGAAACCCTAAACCCAAGAATCCAAAATCCTAAACTCCAGAATCCTAAATCCCAAGCCCTACATAGAAGCCTAAATCCTAAATCTCAAACCCTAGAATCCTAAATCCTAAACCCTAGAATGCTAAACTCTAAACCCCTGGGGCGACCAATACACATCAAAAAACAAACCTTAAACCCTAAAATCCTAAATCCTAACAAAGTCCGGGAAAGGAAGGGCCCCTTTCTGCTATTGAAATTTGTATAAAATTGAATTCAGTACAAAACGACGGATTTTGACCAAATCCCGGGGCACCCCCGCAGAAGGCGCTGGAAGCCTAAATCCTAAGCCCTAACCTTCCGAAATCCTAAATCCAAAACCCTAAAATCCTAAATCCCAAACCCTAGAATGCTGAAGCTTAAAATCCTAAATCCTAAACCCCGGAAGCCTAAATCCTAAACCTTAGACTCCTAAATCCTAAACCCTAGACTCCAAAAAAATCCCAAACCCCAGAATCCGAAATCCCAAACCCTAGAATCCTAACTCGTAAACCCTGGAATCCTAAGTCCTATAGAATCCTAAATTCTAACCGGCAAAACCCCCAGAGGAAATGGTTCAGGGTTTGGGGTTTTACTTTAGCTACGCTAAAGGGAGGTCTGGAAACGGCCAGAGCCTCATTGAGTACAGACGTTGTCGTAAAGAAAACCATATACGTTGGCCTGTACAGGACAAACCGGTGAGGCTTTACCCTCACCTCTTCCCGCTCTTTTCGTACGGGCGCTCGGGCTGTGAGGCCCTCTTCCAAGTGTTCGGGGTCTGTCGCTGGACGGAAGCGACCCCTCACTTAGTTTAGGGTTCAGAGTTTAGGGGTTTAGGGCTTAGGGTTTAGGGGTTTAGGGTTTGGGGTTTAGGGGTTGAGGTTCAGGGTTTAGGGTTTTAGGGTTTAGGGGTTTAGGGTTTAGGGTTTAGGGCTTAATAGGGTTTAGGGTTTAGGGGTTTACGGTTTAGGGGTTTAGGGTTTGGGGTTTAGGGGTTTAGGGTTCAGGGTTTAAGGGTTTAGGGTTCAGGGTTTAGGAGTTCAGGGTGTAGGGTGTGGTAGGGTTTAGGGTTCAGGGTTTAGGGTTTTGGGGTTTGGCATGGTTTGCAAGGGACTTGGTTTTCCGGAGACTTCGACCGGGCTCTTAGGCCCTGTGGGCTCTGGACTATGAGGATTCGAACATGCCCTGGCCGTTCGGATTTGGACTCTGCTACTGTTGAAGATACAAATCCTGCATTATTATCTAAAAACCCTAAACTATGAGAATTATTGCATATTCCTTATTATGAGTAGTGCAGGGTTCATATCATCAACCGTATTGCTCTCCGGTTGACCATATGCTTGCAGACTTGGCAGAGTGTCGATGTCCCAAAATTGGAGGGTAAGCTTTAGATCCCGCAAATCCCTTAACCCCAACCCATGACCCCAAACCCTCAAGCCTAAACTTTAAAACCCTGAACCCTAAACCCTAAACCCATTTAAACCCTGAACCCTAAACCCCAAACCCCAAACCCTACAACCGCCATACAGCCTGAGTGCAATGAATGCCGCTATACGTAATATGGAACCATCAAGCATGTTCATCGGGTTCAGATTTGCTATAGTACGCCCCTTGAGGGAACCCTTAACGCCTTGAAAAGGAACCGTTTCAACGCCTTACGAACTTCCCTAGCCCTAAACTCGTCTAAACCCTCAAGCCTTTAAAGGAGCCTCAAAACCCTATTGTAATCCCCAAGCCCTATTAATTAAAACCCTTAGCCCTTCAAACAGCCCTTAACACCCTAGTCAACTTATTTAGGCTCTAAGCCCTAAACCCCAGACTCCCTAAACCCAAAACCCAATGAACCCTAAACCCGAAGCCCTAAACCCCACACCCCCTAAACCCTGAACCCTGAACCCTAAACCCTAAACCCTAAATCCTAAACCCTCAGCCCCCTCCCTTTTCACGAAGGAGTCGTCCAGCCGAAGGCGCCTTCTTCCTGGCCGGCACTGCCACTTGGCCCGGATGTGGGCTTAGGGTTTAGGATTTAGGGCTTTTGGGGTTTAGGGTCTTAGGGGTTTAGGATTTAGGCCTGAACCAAGAAGCCCGCGAGCAGATGCAAACACCAAGCCAAGGACCCCCCCCCAAAAAAGGCTTAGTTTCCAAAATCCTAGCCGAAAACCCAATGTTACACCCAAGCCCGTACGCTGTAAGACCTAACCAATAAAGCCCCCTAAACCCGAAACCGTAAACCCTAAACCCGAAACCCTAAACCCTAAACACCCTAAACCATAAATCCTAAACGCTGCCCTGAGGCCTAAGCCTCAAAGCAATCCGCAGCCACCCTCAGGTGCGGCCTGCCCCAAGCAAGTCGCTCGCTTAGCTTTTCAGGCTATTGGGGTTTGGGTTTAGGGTTTAGGGTGTGGGGTTTGGGTTTGGGTTTGGGTTTAGGATTTAGGGTTTAGGGTTTAGGGTTTAGGGTTTAGGGTTTAGGGGTCTGGGTTTTTGGTTTAGGGTTTAGGGTTTAGGGAAGGGGTCAGCTGTATATAACGTCCTAGTATCCAGGGGTCCTCATATTAAGGATCATACTGGTAGCGTTTGAGGTATCATCGTGGTATTTTAAGGACTACTTTGGGATCCTGTTCCTTCTGAGGAGTCAGCGACAGGGATATCGAGCGACGAGCTGTCCCTAAAACCCGAGACCTTAACCTTAGAGCCCTATGAACCCAAACCCTGTTAAGGGTTTAGTGAATTTCGGATGTTTTTTTGGTGCCACCACTCTTTGTAAGCGCTTCGTGCACCCGTTTCTGAATGCAACTGCATATCGCGCGGCATAGCGACGAGTACGATGTCAAAGCCTACCTGACCTTGATCGTGCTGGCCAAGCTTCATGCACACATACATCTACAAGTCTACTGCCCAAAGGGTCGGCCTTCTCCTGGCGAGCCGTGCAACAGCTGTGCGCCAAGGGCATGCAAGATTCTGGAATCGTCACTACAGCTGTAGGATTTGCGACCGGGCAGTCAACATTGGCCGCCTGGTCTCTTGTGGAGGACTACATCGACTAGTTCTTGCACATCTGCTCGGGCAGCTACGCACTTCTCCCGCAGGAGCAAGAGACGCTGGCTAGTTTTGCAAAGGCGGCCTTTCTGACACCAGACTTAAGACACAGCAGTGTGGCGCCACATGGCAATCGCGATCCTCAGAATCAGCAGCCGATTGCGAAGCGTGATTTTCTTCCGCGTAGACGAGCTGCTTGGAGAGATGGCGATATCCCAAAAGGCCCCAACTAGTAGGGTTTTCACTTTGTGTGGTTTTTGGACCCAAGACTCGAGAACCCCAGAAGGTAGAAAGACAGAACCTGACAGGCTGCAGGCAGAAGCCTGAGGCGCCCGCTTGGAAGAATTGCTTGCTTGTCGTCGTTGTCGGCGTCGGCGTCGTTTAGGTTGACTCCCCCTAGAAGGGCAAGATTGCCAAATAGACCCTAAAGGTCCATGCCATCTAAAAGTATGGTTTAGGGAAATAACGGATTCTTACGAACCTCATAAGGGGCCTTTCGTATTCAGAAATGCCCCGGAAACGCTTGAAGACCTCGAACCTAAACCCTAGGCCCTAAACCCCTAAACCCCCAAAGCCCCTCAGCCCTCAGCCCTAAACCCTTAAACCCCTAAACCGCCTAAACCCCCTTATCTAGAAAGGCGTGAATACGTCGAACCCATACCCTAAGGGTCGATGTACCCAAATAGAAGATACTTTGGCCCCGAAGTACCTATATTATCGGGACTACTTTAAGGCCAAAGTACAAACTATTTGGATACATGGACCCTCAGGGATAATGCTTTCTAACCATAGTATAACGGGCCCCAAAACCCTATTCTTTATTAAGGCCCCTAAACCCTAAGCCCTTCTAGTAGACTTAGTAGAACCCTGTACGGAAGCCTTTAAAGGAGCCCCCCAAAACCCTATTCTAACTACTAAGGCCCTTAACCTAAACCCTAAACCCTTATAGCACCCTTTAAAGCACCCACTTTCAAAACCCTATTCTAGTTATGTAAGGCCCCTAAACCTAAAGCCTAAAAACCTAAATCCTAAACCCTTACAGAACCCTTTAAGGAACCCTTTAAAGGAACCCCCCAACACCCTATTCTAATCAAAAAGGCGCTTAAGCCTAAACCCAAAGCCTTAAACCCTTATAGAACCCTTTAAAGCCTTTAAAGGACCCACTTTCAAAACCCTATTCTACTTGTGTAAGGCGCCTATATTAGAGCCGAAAAGACTCTTCGACTCCCAACCCTTAATCCTGAACGCAGCCCTGAAGCCTAAAGCTTAGGGTTTAGGGTTTAGGGGTTTAGGGTTTCGGGTTTGGGGTTTCGGGTTTAGTTTAGGGTTTAGGGTTTTAGGGTTTAGGGTTTAGGGTTTAGGGTTTAGGGTTTCTAAAGCCCCAAGCAGTCAGCCCTAAGGTTGAGGGTTGAGGCACTAATCCCTAACCGCAAACCGCAAACCCGAAACCCCAGACATCCAATTCAACTAAATCTTAAATTTGGCCGTAGGGTTTAGGGTTTAGGGTTTAGGGTTTGGGATTGAGGGTTTAGGGGTCCAGGGTTTAGGGTTTAGGGTTTAGGATGTAGGGTGCAGCTGACAAGGATTGCGGACAAAGAGAAAGCGGGCCGCCGCTCATGGCCGACCAGGCTACGATGAGACGTTTGGCACTTCTCGACCGCGTTTAGGGTCTAGGGTTTCGAAACTGAGGGGCTGAGTAAGTAACCTTTACCCTTTTTTGTTATAACCTTACTATAGTTCAGAAGGTTAACCTGTTTTGGGCAAGGGTACCAGCCCTAAGGAAATGTTTATGGACAGGTGGGATGTGGGGTTGCGGGTTTAACCCTAAACCCTAAACCCTGAACCAACTATAGATTTAGGGTCCAGGGTTGCAGCAGTTTGTCCGGAGATTGGCTCCTCTCAGCTTTACAGAAACACCTCAACGCCAAACCACAACCTTCCACATTTACGAACTTCTGTTGATGATGTAAATCCTGCAAAACCTTAAGGACCTTAAACTAGGGGACTTGTGGTTTAAACTCCTTATTATGGGTAACGCAGGATTCATATCATCTACCGTTTCACCCCTAGCCAATCTACCCTAAACCCTAAACCCCCGAACCCGAACCCCTAAACCCTAAACCCTAAACCCTAAACCTCCAAGCTGTGAACCTTGAGTCTTATCTACCCTCAACATTATAATTATACTATAAAGGGGCCCAAAACCCTATTCTAATTATTAAGGCCCCTACATTACCCAAAACGTGGAACCCTAAACCCTAAACCCAAAGCCCTAAACCCTAAACCCCTAAAACCCTGTAGTTCTAAGCCCTTCAGCATGCCCGGAGCCCAAGGCCCTAAGTTCAAAGGAACCCGCGCAGCCTCAACCTTTCGTCCCACTCTTCATCCAGGCGGTATGACACTAGACCCTGAACCCTAAACCCTAAACCCTAAACCCTAAACCCTAAAACCCTAAACCCCAAACCCTAAACCCGAAACCCGAAACCCTGAAGCCCTAAACCTGAAGCCCGAAACCCCGAAGCCCCTGAAGCCTTAAATCCTAAACCCACATCACCTTATGCCAAGCCTGAGCCCTGAGAGCCCGAATGACAGACGTCCGACGGCAGGCTCAGGCACAAAAGCGGGCCGAGTCGCTCTCTCGAAGTCTTTTGTGCCGGCCCCTTAGGGTGTAGGGATCGGCCCCTTAGGGTTTAGGGTTTAGGGTTTAGGGATCGGCCCCTTAGGGTGTAGGGTTTAGGGATCGGCCCCTTCGGGTTTAGTGTTTAGGGTTTGGGGATCGGATCTACAGTTGTTCACCTTGGCCTTAGGGCTTAGGGTACCGCCCTGAACCCTAAACCTTAAACCCTAAACCCCGAGCAAACAAACCCAAAGCCCTGAACCCCAAACCTAAACATCCTGATAAACCCTAAACCCTAAACCCTAAACCCTAAACCCTCAAGTCTAAACTCTAAAACCAAAAGGCCCGACCGGCCCAGGTTGGAAGTGGCACAACGGTGGACGTGAAGTTGAGGGCTTCGAGGCAAAGCTGAACCTTAGGGTTTGTGGTGTAGGGTTTGGGTTTGGTTAAAGGTTTAGGGTTGAGGGTTTAGGGTTTGATTTTGGGTTTAGATTAAGGGTGTGGGGTTTTGAACTTTTGGGTTTTGAGCTTAAGTTTAGGGTTTGGGGTTAAGGAGCTGTTTGACGACTTTTCTGAGGAGACACCAGTGAACTGCACCTCGGATGGAAAGCACTCAGATGCGGAGCAGTTTGAGTTTTCCTGGTGGCTTTCGACGACTGAAGCAAACCACGATGTCAGAATCGGGGTTTTGGTTGCGGCTTTGGAGAGGGAACAGGTGCCGCAGTCGTTCCTAGTTTCTGCTGAAGACACTTGGAAACGTACGTAGACTGCGGCTATCCAAGTGTGAAGACATGGAACAAGTAATCACCAACTGCTGGCCGCGGGAAGTGGCCTATTGGGCCGCTCCTGCCATCGCAACCGCGTCGGAGGGGCTCCCCTGTGACGGCTACGCTCGATTGGAGCATGCAGCCTCAGGGAAATTGATTGCGCATGAAGTTTTCACTGGTTAAGGACTTAGAGTGTAGGGCTCAGGGTCCATGCAATATAGGGGCCAGAAGAACTAGGATAGGGCTTCAGGGCTTTAGGGTGCTGTGCAAGGGTTCCTTTAAGGGAAGGAGCTGCAATAATCAACATAGGCTTCTTCATTAAACGAGTTTCTCCTAAAGGGTTCGATTATCAGGGGCTAAAGGGGTTTGTGTAGGGACCTGAGCAATTGGAGCAGGTTTTGGGGGGTTTCTTACAATATGGGCTAGTATGGGTATTATGTTCGGGACGATACGGGATTCTCATGAGTCCAGTATTTCGACCCCTAGATTCCCCTTGCAAGGCTCCCTTGGCAGGGCAGATCAAGAGCTCTTGCAGGGTTTTGCAAGGTTTTTTGGCATGTCCGGGAACCCTAAACCCAAAGCCCTAAACCCTAAACCCTAAAAGTGGTTTCATGTAGCTTCTTCGTAGGGTTGACTATGGGGTCTTAGAGGTTCCCTGTACCTGCATAGTATGTAGCTTGACCTCGAAATGCACTTTGGGGGCCAAAGTATGTAATTAATGTGTTTTGGGCTTTTGGGATTTAGGGTTCAGGGCTTCGGGGTTTAGGGGTTCAGGGTTTGTACTGCTTCATGAGTGTGTGGACGCTTAGTGCAAGCGTCAGTTTCTCGCTTTCGATTGGAATCTTCGGCATGGCATAAACCCCAAAAGTTATTGGCTGTAACCTCAACTTTTCATCTTTTGGAGTTCTTACAAGGTAGTCGATTCTGAAAGTTTCAACTTTTATTTCCTTGGGTTTTGGGCCAGTGAGAAAACCCCACACCCAAGGATATTGACATAGTTTTGCTTCATGGGGTTGCGCAGTGGGTTTGTAGGGGTTTGCAGCTTCTGGGATGTTTCAAACAATTAGGGGTTCCCGTTTTGGGGTCCGTCTGGGTGGGATCCTGCTTTACCTGTAGCCTTACACACTGCAAACCAGCACATTATGACCCCTTATATAATTAAAGGATGTCGCCGTTAAAGCGGTAGGTGATTGGATCTACAGGTGCTGGAAAGGCAAGCATCCTAAACCTTAGCCCCAAAACCCTGAGCCCTAAACCCTAGCCTCTAACTCTAAGCCACGATGCCCAAAGAGACCTCCTGAACCCTAAAACCCTAAAGCCCTAAACCCTAAGCCCTAAGCCTTAAGCCGTAAACCCGAACCCGAAACCCCTGAACCCCTGCACCCTAAACCCCATGGCACAGGCCAAACTCCCAGAGTCGAGGGCCAGCAATGTACCATCACTTCATTCCCTTCCAAGAGTCCATGCCGCGTCTGTTGTTGCAGCCTTTAGCGTTTAGGCTTTAGGCTGTAGAGTTTACAGTTTAGGGTTTAGGGTTTAGGAATCAGGCTAAGGGTTCTGTGGGTTTTGGGGTTTAGGGCTCTTGGGTTCTTTCCATGCTTGAATTGGCGGTTTCATGTTGTCCTCCCTGATCGGACCACATGACCCTTAAAAGTACAGTAGGGTCAGTAGGGGCCGTATACCCTTATCTTATGAATCCCTATATGTATGTATATATATATATATGGTATCTGAGCCTTAAGCCCTTTTCGGGTTCCCTAAACCCTAAACCCTAAGGTCTGTAACAGGAGCTAGTACCGACAGAGGCCCAGACCAATGTGCCGCTGGGTTTAGGGTTTAGGGTTTTGGGTTTAGGGTTTTGGGTTTTGGGTTTAGGGTTTAGGGTTTATTAAGGGTTTAGGGTTTAGGGTTTAGGGCTTCAGGTTTAGGGTTTAGGGTTTTGGGTTGCCTGTGCCAGGATGATCCCATCACGATCGTCCGAGTCGGTCACAGCGGAATGCGGCCCTCGCAGGCAGAGACACTCTTGTCCCGACTCCCCCTAAACGGTTTAGGGTTTAGGGTTTAGGGTTACCCTGAACCCTAAACCGTAAATCCTAAACTTTCATCCCAAAACCCTAGAAACCCTCTTCCCTAAACCCTCATCCCTAAACCCTAAACCCTCATCCCTAAACCCTAAAGCCCAAACTCCAAACCCAAAGTTTCCCAAGCCTTGAAAAGCTCCGACCCCTCACCTTACTCTCAAAGCTAAAGTTTACTCGGGCCCCGAATCCTTACCATAGGACTGGCATGGCATATGCACGCGAAGAAACAGACGGCGCGTGATCAATTGATTGAGACGAGAGAATGAGGTAAACGAAATGAGTGGAGCTCTCCAAGTGAGAGTCATTTAACTTTACTTCGAACCTTCCTTCTCTGTCTTTCGGGCGTAGTTAGGAAGATGACTTCGGCATTTAGGCTGTATGCTTCAGGGGTTTCATTCAAGTGCCTTGGGATGCCTTGGGTGTGGATTGCACGCGTGAAGCTGCCTGCATTATTGAAGTATTGGCTTGTTACAAGGTCCATATATTGCTGTAAAAGTGCAGTTGGGGCGTGACGTTTCTTGGGCTCATGTCGTCAAGCGAGAGCCATGGCACAATCAAGCCGTTGCCATCAACGAAATCAAGCATACGTACTCGACATTCATGCTAAAGTCATCGTGACTGTCATTGATGTGCCTTCTGCGATCATGAAGCCCCAAAACTTCGATTACCTTGGCATCACCGCAACGTCAAGTCTTTCTGGCTGGCGACGCCGGCTTCCCGCAGCACCAACCTAAATCCTAAACCCTAAGCCCTAAACCCTAAACCTAAGTCCTAAAAGCCCCAACAGCTGACTCATAAGGGTCCTGAAACCCACGAGGGCCCTAAGCCCTATACATGGTTTAGGGTTTAGGGTTCAACTTAGGGTTTAGGGTTTAGGGTTTAGGATATAGGGTTTCGGGTTTAGGATATAGGGTTTCGGGTTTAGGGTTTAGGGTTTAGGGTTCAAAAGTCGCTTAACTTTGAACTTAAACGCCTTATTCCCGGCCGCAGCAGGCCATTGAGAGGCGACTCAGTCGCTGGCTGGGGCGGGTCATGGCGGAAGATCAGCCACCTGGCCCAAACGGCTTCGGCATGGGGTGTTGGGTTTAGGGTTTAGGGTTTAGGGTTTAGGGTTTAGGGTGGGGCTTTATAAGCTGCCCTGCCCTGCCCTGCCCTGCCCTCCCTGCACCCCGCAACCCCTAACCATAAACCCCTATATCATCAAGCAACCTATACGCCTACACAAAGAATCCGCAAAGCCATGGCTTCTAGAAGATTTCTAGTCCCTTAGACGAGGATTGATGGAGCCCTTTTAGACCGTAACCCTAGCCCTATAAGAACCCCAAACCCCTCTGGGTCCTAACCCAAAAAAGAACCTTAAACCCTAAAGCCCTAAACCCTAAAACTCCAAGCCTTAAACAACAAAAAAACCCTAAAACACTAAACCCTAAGCCATAAAACCCTAAGCCTTACACCCAAAAGCCACAAAAACCTTAAACCCTAAACCATAAGCCTTAAACCCTAAACCCTCAACCCAAACTCCACGAAACCCTGAACCCTAAACCGAAAAACCCAACAAGAAACCCTAAACCGAGTTCCGATCTCCAAGGCAGCGGCTGGAGTTGGATCAGCGGCGCCGCCGCAGAGCCAGGCCATATGTTGGCCGTACGGAATCTAAGGTTTAGGGGTTCAGGGTTTAGGGTTTAAGGGTTTAGGGGTTTAGGGTTTAGAGTTTAGAGGTTAACGGTTTCAGGGTGTAGGGTAGGGGTTTGGTTTTAGGGTTTAGCGGTTTAGGCTAGGGGTGCAGGTTGAGGTTGTTTTTGTTGTTCTTGGTTTCAGTTTTTCTCATGCATTTCGGGTTGTTTAGGGTGGTGTTTGGGTTGCTTGAAGTTGCTTGTTGTTTAGGAGTTTCGGGTTTGGAAGTTTAGGGCAAAGTTTGGTGTTTAGGAGGCTGCCGGCTCGGGCTGCGGGTTTCGGGTCTCGTAGTTTGGGTTTAAGGTTCAGGGTTTAGGGGTTTAGGGTGTACGGTTTAGGGTGTAGGGTTTAGGGTTCAGGGTCTGGCATTTAAGGTTGACATGTACAACAAGCTAAACCTGCATTGTACGTTCGAAACCCTAGACCCTCTAAAGCAACCCCCAAACCCGAAACCCCCTACCTTAAGAACCCAAAA